GGGAAAGAACCACATAAAAAAGAAAACATAGAAGAAGAGGAAGAGGATAGCCTTTGCATGGTGTTTTGAACTCTTCTGCATGGGTGGGAGTAAAGTTTTATTGAACTGAAGTGAGACTCAAATCCCTAATTGATTAGGTGAAGTGTTGGTGGGAAATGAAAAGGCTTTACTTATTGGTTGCAACAGCAATCCACAATTCTGAGCTCTGGGGTTTAACTTTTAACTGTAACACAGAAACTTGGTACTGTGGTGTAAGGTCCTTATGTTAACATGTTCTCCCATTTGTGACACTGAGACTTGAGAGTCTGTGTGCAAATATGTGCAGCATATGCTGGAGGAAGCAGGACTTCCCTTTGTTGGTACAAGCTCCGGTATGGCAGCTAGATTATTCGACAAGGTATGTATGTTTCAAGAAAAGACTGAAACATCAAGCAAGAAGTTAACAAATACCTAAAAAAAATATGTTTCAAAACTTCAAAAGCTTTATGGTGGGTACTCTGTTGTCACATTATTTCATACCTCTACAATGGTGACTGGGTGAAAAACTATTTCGGTAGTTATTGTGGGTCCTCTCCTGTCACATTACGTCATAATGTTTTGATGGTAATTCGTGAACATTCGTGCTGATTGTTTGCTGCTAGATCGACATCAGTGCTCACTTTGCCGGTCTGCACAGATGCCACTTGTTCTTCGCTTTGGGATGATCATTGCTACCCCACAAGAAGGGGACTGTTGTGCTGGATTTTCACTGTTCGTCATGTGGTTGAATCCTGCACAGCCGGTATCTGACAGTGTCTGATATTTCCTTCAGCATCTTGTTACCAGCTGGTGCCGGGTGCTATGCCATGTGTCACTGCCCTGGTTGGCACCCTCTCAATATCACGTAATCTGGGCACCTTCCACCTGCTGGGAACCGGGACCAGCTTTCCTGACAAACTGAGAAAGAACAGTAAAGAGAACATTACAGCATTGATTGCCCTGAGACTACCGGAGATAAACTGACAGTGTCTGTCGAGACCAGGAATTGCCTCGTGAGTTGTGAGCCCATTTGTTACATGCACAGATATGTGATGTTCGTAATAACCGAGGAACTGCAGTGTGATAAAAAGGACTGAAATGGACAATGCGGTGAGAGTAGAATCTCGACAGGCAATGTGCATTCTCATACATACAAAAGTGCTGAATAGCGCAGGGAAGACTTAGATACAAAGACTGACCTGACAAGGACTGACCTCACACACGTAGTACAAGTAGCGAAGCAGAATGCTAGAATACCAATCACGAGCCCAATCAATGTTTGAACTCAGACTAAACATGCATCGTATCCCTCACCAGGTGTGAAGGAGCCTGGCGCTGCACACAGGGAGAAAGCGCCAGGTCCAGACATACACAGACGAAGAGGTAAGGACCAGACGAAAGGAGGGGGGAGAGATGGGAGTGTTGTTAACACCAAGTCTTGGTCACCAATCCCAAATAACCCCTCGTTGCCATGTCTGAAGTCCCCAAAAGTCGAGTCTGGATCCGATATCACCAACCCCGGTATCTCTTCTCTCGCAGTCTGSAAATGCAGTGAAGTCAGGGGTTGAGAGGGAGAGGAGGAGATGGTGGACTGAGAAGAAGAGGAAGAAGAACCCTCTCCCTCTCACTGTTACGAACCAGGTACTAACCTGTGATGTGGCGCTGTGCTGCAGGTACCTCGAAGACGAAGCTGGAGCAACGGCGCTGCAGGTAGGT